ATTATGAATTTTCATATGTCATCATATCAATATACATTGTAATAAACAACGTGAAAAGTGCTTTGAAAACTTTGTTATGGGCCGTCCCGAGCAAGAGGAGGGGGAGAATCGGTTCAAATTTTTGCATGCATTTGTTGCTATAAAATTTGATTGATCTGAGTTTTCTATGAAAAAATGGTGATGTTGTTTTGATCTGAATTTGAAAATTTGGGCAAACAAAAGAATAGTGGCAAATTTTAGCCGACGACCCCCCCCCAATTGAGATGATTAAAATTTTTGAAAAATTTTATGATAATCTATTTCGACTTTTAAGAGCATTCATGGTATCAACATTCATAACTTTCCTTCAACCCATTTCGAAAATATTAAAAAAAAATTTTTTTTTGAGGCCCTATTTAGGGGGTGTAGCTCCCTTAGGAAACATCTCTCTACACATGTTTATTTGAAAAAATATTCTTATTTTTCGCAATATAATCAAGTGGTAAATTATTGGACACTAATTTTGAGACACCCTGTATATAAGAAAACTACATTTGATTTAATATTTTATCAAAAATGTTAAATATAATGTTAAGCAAATTAGTATACAACGCACGCTTGTTAATCTGCCGCCAAAAAAGTACGAAATACTGATGCTATACAATCGTTATTAATTAGGCATATAATTAAGCAGTTATAGTAAAACCAAAAATAACTGTAAAAAAAATCTAACTGGTATAATCAAATTTACAAAATATTGTTAATTAGTAAGTCATCATTTCATTTGTTCACAGCGTATTTGCCTCCAGTTCCTCCTTGACCTACATTAATAATAAGTAGGTACCTATTCTGTCATAAAAACATGCCCTTTATTTAAACACATCTAAAAACACTTTATCAGAGGCATGCCGGCGAATTGTACTATACACCTGCACTTTCCGTATTCCACCGTACCACATATTGTTAGTAATATGTGACCGTACCTATTTCATCGTGACGATGCGAGAACGAATCATTTGCTTTAAAATGTGTTGTAAATTGTAAAGTATCTACATAAATCAATCACTTTTTAAACAGAGGCTAATTATAAACAATTCGTTTAAAAACTAATAAAACACGAACAGAAAAATTAAATTGTAAAAAATATTTTTAGGGGAACTCATTTGGCTTGCTTCTCAAGAAAAATGTAATAATAACTTGAAGTCACTCTTCAACAAACAACAGTAATTATTACATACAAAATTCTGTATTCAGAATTATGGTTTCTAAAATTATACTGGATCTAATAACTAGTAAAACATACAATAATCAATTTGTGAAAAATATCTTAAAGAAATCTTAGGGAGACACTGACTCCCCCGCTTCTAAAAAAAACTGCCACTGTGTAGTAAATTTTAATTATCTTATCACGCTCCATTTTAGTTTAGACAGTCTGACTGATACCGAATGGCATTTGCCTAATTCTTTCTTCTCTAGTAATTATATTATCGATTATATTATCTGGACTATTATCAAAATATGTGTATTAAGTACTATAATTTATTTGTGTTTATAGCTCTTTTACTATTAGACTAATTATTAATTGTCAGAATTAAAATTTTTTAACTTACTAGTATTTAACAGTATTTGTAAGAACTCGGAATAACAGTTTTATTATTATGATTATTTTACATGCAAAGCTTAATATTCCCATTCAAACAAGCACTGCCATCACATTCTTTTATATTATCTAAAATCAGCGCAAATACAACTCAAACATATTGAAGTTAGTCCGGCTCTGGTTCAGCAAAAAATACCTTAGAACGACAACTGTGACTATCGCCCTCTTTTCGATAGTGTCTAAACTATAGAAAAGTTGAAATACGAAGGATTTCTTCAATTGCTCGGCATGAAAAGATGACGGATAATATAAAATATCAGAACACGTACCTTTCCTGTTTTGTCCAATTGATTTATAAAACTACTCAATAATTCTTATTAATTCATGTATAAATAGTATCCTAAAAGCATTCTGCTGGGTGTGGGTATGTTTATAATACCGTACGCTTTTATCTGTATGTTCAACAGTCGTGTAAAGTTCAGGAAACGTAAGATAAAAAAATATGTTTTTTTTTTCTTACTTAAAATGTGTTGTCAGTTATCTCACACCCTGAAGAACACTTGCATGAGTAGTACAGTGAAGAGTTATCGTTTCTAACTTGCTTAGATTTTTTAAACAATTGGACAAGAAATTCATTGAAAATTGCGCACAAAAACGCCCCCCTTAAATGCTATTTCAAGAGTAATCTCTGAAAGCTTTAGATTTTTATCTCAAAAATTAAAAAAATGGCAGATCTTTAATTAATTTTGTAGAAAATTCTATATCGTTACGTAAGTTTATTTACACACTATTCCTGTAATTTTTTTTTTCGATTTTAAAATCATGATAACTTGTTAGCTACAAGATTCCTCTTTCATTTAAATTTTTGTGGACTTAATTTGATCAAATAGATCAAAAGTTATAACAAATTTAGTGGATAGCGCTTTCTTCGATCCTGGGCGCAAGTGTCGACACTTTACATTTTCGAACGATTTAAAAAAAAAATTCTACAATCTACAGTTTTCATTTTAGAAAATAACTTTATATACATTTTTCATGTAAAATTAGTTTTTTTTAAATTGAATTTGTTAAGATATACAATGAACAATGGAATTTTGCAACTAATTTGTTAAATAAATAATCAAGCGTACACTCTATGGTTGGTAACTTTTTATATGTTGTTTCTAACACCCCCACAAGTGTGTCCTCAAAAGTTGCCCGATCTGCTAATTTTTCCGAAGTCAATTATTTAAAATCGTCGAAAATTCAATAGCTGACTATGAATATAAACGTCAAACTTGACGTTCAGAAAAAAAGTTGAAAATGGATACCATATCATCGAGCCATATTCCAGTTTAGATCTCACAAGAGCACAAAACAGGGTTTTGAAAGTGCTTGTACTGGAAAAATCCCGGCAGTTACGATAAATAAAGCCATATACATACAGGGTGATTCATTAACAATGGGAAAGTCGAAAGCTGAAGATACTACACGTGAAATGGTGACCATTGGCGCAAAATTTTAAATCGTTTTTTTTGCGATTATTCTGAAAATATGTAGGTTAGGAACTTGAAAATTTGTGAAACTATATTTTTTTAGGCGAAGAATAAGATGCGTGTTGTAATTTCAGCATTGCTCATAGAGGGCGCCACTTACGACCAATTTTACCGAAAATTTAGTTAATAACTTTTTACCCTGTATGTCTAACATGAAACTTGATTCAAAACCTGAAAGAGCAATCATTTTTCCATTAATTATGTATTCTTGTTTCATTTCGGTATCTCGATCCGTTTTCGAGAAAAATCGATTTAACGAACACTATGTTTTGATAATATGAGAAATTAAAAGCGAAACAAACCAAGTGTTTCTTCGTGTTATTACAACAATTAACAATAAAACAAATAAAATACGTAATTATGATTTAAAGTAATTGTTCGAAGAATCCACCGTTGACACTGATACACTTTACACGTTTTCTGAGAGATCTTCGAGTTTGAAACAACATATTGGGATTGCGTCTGACTTCGTTGGCAGCGATTTGTATTCTTTGCCACAACTCTTCACACGAGCCAATAGATTCTTTGTAAACTATATCTTTCATTCGAGACCAAATAGAAAAATCAAGAGGATTGAAGTCCGGACTTCTGGATGGCCAAGCAAAAATGCTTACATGGCCAATCCAGCGATTTGGAAAAACTGCATCTAAATATGCACGCACTGGCCAAGAAAAATGCGGTGGAGCTCCGTCGTGCATGAACCACATGTCTCTTCTTAAATAAAGTGGAACTTCTTCAAGCCGTGGAAGCATTTTTACTTGGCCACCCAGAAGTCCGGACTTCAATCCTCTTCATTTTTCTATTTGGAAGAATCTATTGGTTCGTGTGAAGAGTTGTGGCAAAGAATACAAATCGCTGCCAACGAAGTCAAACGCAATCCCAATATGTTGTTTCAAACTCGAAGATCTCTCAGAAAACGTTGTGTAAAGTGTGTAAATGTCAACGGTGGATTCTTCGAACACTGACTTTAAATCATTATTACGAATTTCATTTGTTTTATTGTTAATTGTTGTAATAACACGAAGAAACACTCGGTTTGTTTCGCTTTTAATTTCTCGTATTATCAAAACATAGTGTTCGTTAAATCGATTTTTCTCGAAAACGGATCGAGATACCGAAATGAAACAAGAGTACATAATTATTGGAAAAATGATTGCTCTTTCAGATTTTGAATCAAGTTTCATGCTAGGCACACAGGGTAAAAAGTTATTAACTAAATTTTCAATAAAATTGGTCGTAAGTGGCGCCCTCTATGAGCAATGCTGAAATTACAACACGCATCTTATTCGTCGCCTAAAAAAACATAGTTTCACAAATTTTCAAGTTCCTAACCTACATATTTTCAGAATAATCGCAAGAAAACGATTTAAAATTTTAACTTTCAGCACCCTGTATTTCCGAAACTATCAACTTTCGGATAAGGCATGTTTGCGCCAATTGTCACCAGTTCACGTATAGTATCTTCAGCTTTCGATTTTCCCATTGTTAATGAATCACCCTGTATATCACTGTTAGATTAAAAATAAACTATATCTTTTGTCAACGGTTTTGTTTTTAATTTCATTTTACACGTTTCATACAGGATTAACAAATCAATCTATAATTAAATGCAGGATCAAAATCTTTCCACGAAAGATAATGTCAACGCAATAATCTATTGACAATGAGATTTATTTAGTTTACTTAATCCAGGAAAAATTACATTCTGCATGATGTCTATAGGGAAATAAAAATGGGTAAATTGCCACATATACAGAATTATATTCCTCACAACCTAATCTAGAATTCTAGACATTTTTTTTATTAATTATCATCTAAACAGATATTAAACAGACAACAATAAGTTCACGTCAAAAAGTATGACTGAGTGGAAAAGTAAAGATAAGTGAAAATATATAAAACTGGGGCGCCTTCAGAATCCTAAGTTCTGTTTTTGTAACTAACGACATAGTGAGAGTAGCAGAAGTCAGAAATGAAGTTCTGTATTTTCGTAATTTTGGTGTGCCTCCAAACAACAATACGTGAGTGCTCTAACACTATAATAATCACGTACATTTAAAAATTTTAATGAACCGATTAGAAAAAAATTGTTACTAGATGTTTCAAAATTAATATAAGTTACACTAAAAAACTCTAACATTAAAAATTAGTAAACTTTTGTTACAAAAACTTAATAGCGCTAATATTAACATATTAACTTTAATTGACAATTAGATGAAGTATATCGACATTTGATAAATTATTACCTATATTTTATGAACATGTTATTATAATAAAGACTGAGAAGTCTTTTTTAGGTGCTTTGACATTGCATAGCCTTTAGTTTTCATATGTAACTACGAGTTTCTTACACGAAACATGATTTTTCGCGTTTTATACAGAAATGTGGTGATAAATCAGAAACCATCAAGAATAACTATAGCAACCCTTGTACATACTGACGTAGGTTTTTCTAATGAGCCCAGAAATGCGAAAATATACAAGGTGTTCCATTAACAAAATAACTTACATACATTCGAATTTCCTCGGGTTTGTCAATTAGTTTTCAGGTCCCTGTATAAAACCAGCTAATTTTGAAAACATCATAAGGAACCCCATGACTTCTACTTTCATTGACCCAAAAATAAAGATTTCTGCGTGAACTGTTTCTGAGGCATATACTTTTGCAGCTGTAACCTGAGGGGTTATTTCTTTAATTACTTATCTACCATTATGACCAGTATCATAACGAGTCTGGATTTCAAAAGAGTTTACTATTTAAAGGGAGTTTATAATTATTATTACATTTTAATTAATACGTGGGAACTCAGAAATGTTGTATGTTCAGAGAATGAATTTCAGGCACTTACCCTCTATTGCTTACGTAGAATGTAATCCAGTGGCTGGCTATACAGGATGACACTGAAGTTAAGAGAAACAAAAGGAAACACCAAAACATCCAGGAAGGGTTTCAATGACAATAAACAAAACAAACAAACAAAATAACGACACAACGGTTCGAACAACATTATTACTTAATTTATTTACACGCGACAGCGTACCGAGATTCAGGAAATGCGCGATCCATAGCAAAATTTGGAATGACTTTATCCATTATTAAATTAACCCGAGACTCTAAAACTAAGTAGACTGCCCAATGTGAAACCCAAGGAAGAACTGCCTGTTTTTCGGGTATCTCTCCTGAATTCGACACCTCGCTTCGACACGCCCATTTCTTTAGTCAGAAGTTTCTGTTCTTTTCTTATTGGCGGGAACCCTGAATGTCGGGACGCTTTGGCATAACTATGCTATGTTAATAATTACCTAATTGACTGGACTTACATTTATATAAATAATTCTGTGACTAACTGAACTTACAAGTAACCCTAGCCTTCCTCTAGTGACTCCGCGTAGCAACACGGCACGGATTAGTCAACCTCATTTACTATATCCTTACATCTTGGAAAATCCGCCTAAAAACCAGCTATTTGATCTATTACTTTCTTTTCATCACAACATTCTAACAATTTATTCTTGGAATTCCTACGTTCTTTGGAATGCATTTCGCGCGTTATTTGAAATATCGATTTTTCTCTTTATACCTGCTCAACACATGGCCCCGACAGTCTAAGTGGACTTATTGAAAAATATTGCTAAATTTCGTGAAGCCTTCCCCGAAGGACGGTTTTGGCGACGTTAAACCTACTTGAAAACCATTAACTTTCCGATAAATTACTGTTGACTGAAATATTTTACTTTTTGGCCCATCCGTTCCGAGAACTAACAAATAAATTACCACGCGTCACGGCTTTTGTTACAAAGCCAACAGTGCTGCATATAATTTTTTTTTAAATCGCATTATCTTGACGTGCAACAGTTTTGAAAATATTTTCATTGAAAAGTTCATAGCCGAATTTTCAACAAAATTCTATCATGGTAACTTCGTAACTTCGTTTTTTCGGTGTAACTTGGACTGGAACTATTCTTATGAAAAACGTGGTTTCCTTTATATATAATTATCAAAGAATGTGAAAATTTCTGAAATTGTTTCAGCTCTGGCACAAGGACAAAACATCAGAGACCGTATCAATGAAATCATACAAAATATTAAAAATCAAATTCCAGAGCCAGTTGAGATGACCGACACTAGCGTTGCTCTCCCAGAAAACGATAATTTTGGGTAAATATATTTACATATTATTTATTTGTCACTCATCAAAATGCATTCCAATTAAAAGTAACAGTATAATTAATATTGAAGATGTCCAATCTTTGGTGATTTTTTATTTTAGAGGATGCATAAACATTACAAACTGGACGATTAGTGGACTGCGAGATTTCAATATCGACGTTGACTACAGCGGGACAATTATTCCGATTCCAAGAGGATTTACTATCACCATCGACAGTATGGACATGTACAGGGATCTTCTGGCAAGTTTCGAGGCCTACTACAGGTCGTCGATTTTACACTACGAGTCCGATGCAAGCGTCAGGTAGACATTCTAAAGTAATTTTTATGTTAGAGAATATACAGATATTTAAAGAATTCGCTTTTGAAGTCACTTCCAAAAAAAATTATTCTGAATTAAGTTTATAAGTATCTGTATCCAATTATTGTTTTGTATTGTATTCCGCATTCATATATATACAGGGTGTCATTTTGATGGGGATCATATTTATGCGGAGAGTACCTTTGACCTTTAGAAACGCGTATCATAAGTTTATTTCCCTGAAAATCCGTAGTGAAAAAATGTCATAATTTGAAGGAGAGGTTATTAAAGAGCAAATTTTATTAAAAAGGTAATTCCCGTACCACCCGCCAAGAAGTACTTCTCTTGGAAGCGCTAGTTTTACACGTAATCTAACAGAAAACTCAAAATACTAAATAATTATAAATTAAATACACAAAAATAAATAATCAGTTTATTCGCCTGATTCTTACAGCATATGACATACTTAAAATCTTGACGCGAATCTTCAAGTACTGGTACCAGAATTCTCTAAAGGGGGAAAACCACATTAGGAAGTTCAAAAAATCGGATTTTTTTAATGCATAAATTATGCTGCCAAAATTTCAAAACGAAATTCCTATTCGTTCAAATTTTATGAGCTTAAAACCGAATGCCCACTAAAAAATTTGCAAATGTAGTTGATAAAATAATGTCAAAGAGTCATCAAATTATAAGTTGTCCCACTCAAAAAAATTTATGAGAAACGCCTGAAAATCAGCCTCCTAATGTAGTTTCCCCCCTTAAACGGCGTTTAACCAATTTCTGGTTCTCAGTAATTTTTTGAATGTTGAATTAATCTTACAAACATTTTATCAATCGGTACTTATTGGTCGGGGTAGTCCATCTGTTTTCTTGCAACATTATCGTTTCCTCCTGACAGAAGGTAGGCTCTAACCATATCAACTCTTTTTTGATTCGTGTACATGATTTTTCATAATATCACATAAAAACTTGAAGAATACATTGTATCGTCACTAAACACAGAAGTAAATAGCTTTTAAGGTTATAAACTTACACTACACAAAGACACCTTATAAGCCAAGCAAATAAAATTTTTACTCGAAAAAATTCCTATCCACAAGATTATTATAAAATTATCTAAAGGAATATAATACAAGACATCTCTCATCTCGTGGGTCGAAAAATTTGATTAGCTAACTTTTCTATTTAAACAAATAAGTGAGGAAAACTGTTTTTTTCACTTTGCAGGGAAAACCATCAATTTTAGCCAAAAAGTAACTCTCAGACAGCTTGTAGGGAATAAAATTATCTACAAAATGAGACTTGTTAAATTAAAATCGGTCAATAAGTGAAAAAGTTATTGCAAAAAAAACAAGAAGTGCCTATTTTTTAATTTGTTTATAACTAGGTATCGCATTTATTATTAAAATTTTATAAAACCTACGACAAGTTGAGGGTTTTGTTATACTTTAAAAGTGTGCCAAAAGTGGGCGCCGTAGGTGCAATAGTTTTCGCACAATTCCATTTGTTTATAGCGGAGGCTCCAAAAGTTATGAACTTTAAGCCTCTGTACAGGAGTTAATTTTCAACCAAACATGATTCTGAAAGCGTCATTGTAATCTTAAAGACGTAATTAAGCGACCTATTAAAAAATATCACCGTTTTTTTGACATTAACATTCTCAAATTGTGCATTAAAAAACCGTGCGTTTTTCGCTTATAAACAATTTGAATAAAATTGTTGCTATTTATGCTACCTCA